TCTGTCGGTCTGTCTGTATGTCTGTCTGTCTGTTTGTTCCGGCTAGTCTCCGAAACGGCTGGACCGATTTCGACGGGATTTTCACTGACAGACTGTTCTAAGGAGTAACTTAGGCTATTTTTATTTGAGAAAAAGAATTAGGGTTCTGAGAAATATAATTAAAACCCTAAATTACACGCGGGGAAGTCGCGGGGAACAACTAGTTCTACATAAAATCTAAATGTTTCTTTACTGAGACTTTTTGTATTTTGATTTTGCTCATCATAATATACACATCTTGTTTACTTTAAAAACACAAGTGACGGTAAGAATGTTTATTTCTTGTTATTCGCATATAATCACATTTTGATTTATAAAGTGAATAATTAAAACCATGAGGATTGTCAATTTTCAAGTTTACACAATACAAACTCACCATTTTTGATCTAAATAATTACTAAAAATAGTTTTGTTTAACATTGACAGAACTGATATATCCAAAATTAAATATAAATTTAAGTCCTTTTAAAGTTAAACCTTGAATATTACATCGTGATTTATAAAGTGTGTAGGTAATTAAAACCATCTATGGGAATGACCATTTTCAAATTTACTTAATACGAACTCGCTATTTTTGACCCTTGATTTTTATTTGGCCTTACAAATTTATTAAAAATCTTTTTTTAATTAATTTTTAATAATAATATAAAGAGAGAGATATATTCCATTAAAAACATAAATTTTTATTGCATAGTTAGTTTTTCATTTTCTTATACAATTGTAATAGCAAAGATAATCTGTGGTCATTCTATTAATTCAGAACGCAACAATAGACAAGGTAGTATAATAAAGCGTATTATCTATTTAACTGAAATAAGAACCTAACTATGTCTAACTGTGGGTGTCGTTAGAGGTAACTATTACAGGAAAGACCAGAAACTCAAGCCTCCAATAAATGGCACCAGACCAGATGTAATCTTTGTAGACCGGCGACGAATAATGATATCAAAGGTGCGAGACGTCTGGTACTGTGAAAGACCAACCGCGTGGCAAATTCTTTCTACTATAAGCAGGGCCAATGTCTAGCAAAGGAGTTATATGAGCAGCTATATAACTTACAAAGCAGACATAATTTCGGTCACGGCGGCCAGTCTCAACGGAGTCTAGCCGTCTGCGCAGAACAGGATTATAATGCACGAGTGTGTGCGCAAGCAGTGCACTCTCAATTCCGTCACTCTTATAGTTCAATAATGCAATTTGACACGACCGGGGAGAGATCAGGCGTAGTACCAATGGCTTAACGAGTTTACCCAGGCTAAAGAGTGAAACACCTCCGATTTCCAGACTCAAATAGCCCAGTAACTGATTTTGACGCGACCCGGAATTCGAACCCGGCACCACATAGTCGGCAATCGTACTTACAACCACTATATCAAACGTGGCTGTCAAGTAGAGCACAAGCCATATTTTAATGCAGTAAGTGCGCGTATAACACTCCAGAAGATAAGAGGCAAGGTCAGGTGCAGTGTTTGGAGGTATGGTACTGCCAAAAAAGAAAACCAAAACATTTGTTAACTCCGGCGCAGTTTCGATACAAGATCTGCGGCTGAGTACCTTGATACTTGCCATAAGATATAACACTAGATCACAGAATTGTGATTAACATAATTTATCACCATCATCATTACAGCCAATACAAGTCCGCTGCTGAACATAAGCCTCATTCAAAGAATGTCACGCACGCATGGTCCTTAGCTACCTACATCCATCGACTTCCCGCATTTTACCAGGTCGTTCATTACGAAATACCACAGAATAAATATGGTAATATTTATTGAAAGTCAATTTTTCTTTTGACCACTGGTTCAGAAAATAACTCTGTCCTGGGAAGAACCAGCACGAAAACAAGTGGGATTATTTAAAAAGTTTATAATATTCGGCAATATCATCGTACGCTTTTATAAGTAACATATTTTGCAAACAAAGGTCCAAACGTATGAAATAAAAATATTTAGTTTGCATTAGTAAAAAAAAAACTGTTGAAACAAAATTGCTTAATGTCGGTAATGTGTCGCGGTGATTGATTTCCTCAAGTCAACACTTGCGCGGGTTCCCAGCTAGCGCGGAAGGAAAGAAATGGGTGGCGACCGTCGCGCGGCGGGTAATTGCCGCCCGACAACTAATAAAGACTTGCTTTATTGAAACAAGAAATTGCGACACTCAACCCAACCCCAACGTAAGTCGACTTGTTAGCCAATTAGCTATAATAGCAGGAATAAATTGCAGTCACCTGTTTCTTGTATATTGTTGAATTTCACAGTACGCGTGCAACCCGGGTTCGATCCCCAATGAAATTGTTAATTACAATTTTAAGTGATAATTACCACGTGACCACTGGAAACCAGCATGTCTGAGAAATAAGAAAAATAAAAATTCGAAGATATATGAGGTTCGCCAACACGCATTGGGGCAGCGCGGCTGACATTTCCTTGCCCTAAAACCCTCTCAGAAACGAAAGGAGGCCTGTGCTTAGCAATGGGACGTATTTAGGCTGTAACTAACTAACTAACTAACTAACTCTATTCATCAGCATTTGGGCTTTATAATTTTCAGACGTGTTAATGAAACTTAGAGTTAATTCGTAAATTGGGTTTTTTTTTCAATGATAACAATTATTAAATCCACAATCACTGTATAAAATATATCCATATAACTTCCCCATATTGTTTCCATCACGATAATTACAAAATTTAGCAAATCATTTGTAGATCCTAATCTCCTCACGATTTAGTCGCACGTTATTCGAAGTCGCTTTGACACCGATTACAAATTCATTCCCGTAATACGTAACGTGTTTTAGACTAATGAATATTGTTTCACTCGGGCATATTGTGCATTATTAATGCGCGGACGCAGTGGACGACACGGCGAACCCACCGCTTCCATTATTCTGATTCTTCATTTACTTGATTGAGCTTTTAATACGATTCGATGTCCAACGAACAAGTGACCGGATTAATCAGGGCTGTCAACAAAAATAAATATGGGCGCAATAGACGTTAATGACAATAGTCACGTAAAAGTACACCATTTAAAATAAATATTTTAACTGCGATTAAAAAAGAAAAAATGTAGAGTAAGAAATTTGAGTATATTATATTAGTTCAGACTTGGTTTGATAAATTATTTGAATGAAGGCCTTGTATTTTAATCGCAAATTTGAATCGATCAAACTGTCTTGAATTTCGCAAATAACTACAAAATAATTTATATATTGCAATGGCTGTTGCTAATGTTGTATAAAGTAGGCTTAAAACTTGATATTGAATGTCCAAAATATGGTTAATGTATTAAAAATGTCGCTTTGAAGTTCCAATTCATTTATCTTAAGAAGAAGATCAATGTTTACAAAAACCATGCTCTCAAAACGATAATTACTTATTAGTACTTTATATTTGCTTTATTAAAATTCATTCAGTGCTTCAGTGCATTCAGGCTACGTGGCATAATGGCTTAATTTTAATTCTGATTTATAAAGGGATTGTTGCAGACATTTAAAGTCTGCGAATCAGCACGGGAGCAGAGAGAAAAAAAATATTGCTTATTGATTTCGTCTTTTTAGACATGAGACCCAGTAGTGGGACTTGCATAGACAATTAATTTACTTACTTTCAACAACTGTACAGGAAATAAATAAAAATTAAAAATTTTGTACAACCGACTTCGATATATATATTATTAAGGATAACTCAAAAACTATTGGTGAAACCTTGATTTATATGGGACCACATGAGAAGCACCAGCTTTCAAATAAAATAATAGTCATCGAAATCGGTTCACGTAGAACAAAGTTAAGAGGTCACACAAATTAAAAAAAAACATACAGTCGAATTGAGTACCTCCTTTTTGAAGGCGGTAGAAAAACACCTCTAATTGCGGGGAATTATGACTGAATCACGAATATGTCTGTTATCGTAAAACAGCAGCATATTACTGCTGCGTTTCTTATACCGAGTGACGATAACCAGAGACCACTTTTATTGGTTTGAGGAATACATTTTAATATTTAGGAGTGACAACTAATGTTCGTTTTGATCTATGTATGCTCCTTTGTCGTCTCTATTAATATTTAAAAATTCAAACTCTTAAGAAATAGTTTAGTCAAAGCTTTAGAAAAAAGCCGACTATTCAAAGAACTATGAAGAATAAAAAAATTCCACACACCAGCTACAGAAGTGAGGCATAGAGTATAGGAGAATTAAAACTCCGACTTCAGAAGCTATTATGTGGGAATTTCATTATTATTTTTAGTTTCTTGAAGTAGGCTTTTACAATTGATTAAAAATTTAATGTTTTGACCCCTTTGAGTAAGCAAAAGGATATCACAAGCTGAAGGTAACAAAAATGACTTCAAAATTAAAAAGTTACATTAAATACTTTATCCCCTGATTGCTCACGTCTCAAAATTTATATGGAACCTCCTTTGAAGTATGATTTTTTTTTATAGAATAAGGGAGACAAACGAGCACACAGTCCACCTAATGGTAAATGCATGCTGTAGTCCATAGACATCTACGTCTATCCTAGATTAAGAATCAAAATGCAGATGAGTTGTCACACCTGAGGCCTAAGATGGAATACCTCGTTTCCAGTAAAAAGGGTATCCGGTTCTCTACACTCATCATACGATACACATCAGCATTGAGCTGCTATTTTACGCTGGTATTCTGTGAGAGCGTGGTCCTTTCCCGGTTTAACCGACCCAATGTTATTTTACGTGGTTCTATCACGTAAAATAACAAAAGAATAACTAAGACTTATTTAATAACAAAAGAATAATTAAGGTCGATTCACAATTGACGAAGATATCGCCTAACATACACTACATAAGGACACACAGTCGAAATGAGAACATACTCTTTATTTAAAGTCGGCTAAAAAACATGCCAAAAAATGACTAACAATACCTTACTTTTAGTTTCTTACGCTTTGTTAATAAGTTCTCTTTACTTTGCTTTAGGATGTCACGGCACGTTCTGCTCTCACGTTTGGCGGAGCAGTTTCAGTCCTCCTCGCCGCCACCAACACAACGTTTTCCTTCACCAAATCGCAGCCCCTCGCCTCACTCGCCTGCATCAACACGGTCACCTCCACACACGCCTGACTCCATTCCTCATCACCGGCTAGATCTTCTGCAACTTGGAGATATTGAAATAGCTGGAAGAGCGCTTAAGCAATACGCCAGAGCCACTGGTAAGAAATTGCGTAAATTATAAAAAATTTCATTAACATCTATTTTGGTATTGTAAATCTATAATTCATTCATGTTATATGTACACTATGTGCTACATACGTAATTAACCATCATTGCCAGCTTCATCATCACACGTTTTTGAATTAGGGAGAACTTAATACATATTTCAATACATTGAAATTGTTCTTTATGTAACTGCTTCACAAATATTAGAATCATCATTATCGCCAATCTCAATATGACCAGTACACTGTACCCGTCATCGGCTTAAATGTTTTATTCAAGACAGTAGTCATTCATTCATTCATTCATTCATTGCAGCCTATCAGAAGTCTACTGCTGGAAATAGGCGTGTCCCATAGATTATCTCATGGTTGGTAACTGCAGATTTTTATTATATTGATCTGGTATCAAGAAGATGTCATCCATTGCCTGTTTCATTGTCCTCTTTGAACTTATACAGCACCTACGGGATGATTATATGTAGGACTAGCTACCCGCGACTTCATCCGCGTTGCTTACACACATCACTGAACACGTAGTGCTTATAAAAATCGTTGCTTCTTCAAACATTAATAACTTTATATTAAATGAATATATCAATAATATATTTTTAGATAAGGGCCCAAGTGTCTAAGAAATAAAACTTAGAAAACTTAATAGAAATCTATTCAGTAGTTTTTCCGTGATGCGCACAAAACTGCAAACCTCTGTCTTTTTATGAGGCTTGAGGTGACTCTATTGGAGGCCATATCATATTTCTGACATCCCCCTTAGTTAACTTTTTACTCCAACAAGATGGAGTGAAGGAATATTTTGCGCCACCACAGTGTGACAAATTTTTTAAATTTAATTTTTTTAAATTAACAATTCATACTAATAAATCAGTAACCAATGTCTATTTGTGATTGTTAAGAACTAGGAGCACTGATGTACTGCAGTGGATTAGGTGCATTGTATGGAGGTGCAGGCGTATGGCCGTTGCTGATGCCAAGAGCTTCGCCACAATACGCGTTGCCACCGCTGGACCACATGAGACATACTCCGCCCAGAGATGGTAATTATATTTTCGTTTAACTTTCCAATAAAATGCAAATAAGTGTAAAATTAATAAACTGCTAGCGATTCTAACATGTTAATAAACTCCAGTTAACTACTCTTCACGACAGTATGAAGTCAAACACTGGATTCGAACGACCTTTTCGTTTCTCAGCCTGTAGTGTTAAATATGAGGCTACTGTTTCTGAAATATAAAAACAGTTTATCCCAATTTTTTTTAAAATGACGGTAACAAACGAGCACTAAGGGGGACTAAGATAGAATGCTTCATCACTAGTAAAAAGTGTATCCGGTGTTCTACACTCACCATACGAAACACGCATTATGCTGCTATTTTCAGCTGGTATTCTATGTGAGCGTGGTCCTTCTCCGCTCAAACCGGCCCCTTCGTGTTGCAACAATAATATAACTGCTGCGTGGCTCTACTGCATTAAAATATAATTAATAAAATAATTTATGTTTTTAGTAAGTTTGCCGTTTGAACTGTACTGCCCCCTAAAGCATCACTCTAAGTATTTGAAAGACACTTTGAACAAAGTTATGAATTTTATAAAAATAACTAAAACTCTCTTCTTCTTCTTCGCCATCAAACTAATATCCTCTAAACGCCTCTCCTGTTGCAGGGAGTATTTGTTTAATACGTTCCCTGGCACTGGTCTAGATATTTTACTTCTTACGTAAACGAATTGGCCTGCCACCTACCAAGCCATGAAGTCTTTCTGGAATATCCCTAAGTCACCTCTAATGACATTCACGGGACGTAATGTGGTGGTTGATTACCTTAAACCGCCGTCTTAGGGCACAATTAAAAGTATAAGTGTAAAATTTCAAAGTTTTTTTACCTGGTAGAGCCATGCTGCGACTGTATTACTGGTATAGTTGTAGCACGAATGGGTCGGCTCGACCGGGGAAGGACCATGCTCTCACAGAATACCAGCGTAGTATAGCAGCATGACGCTGCTGTGTTTCGTATGGTGAGTGTAGAGAAACGGATACCCTTTTTTACTGGAAACGAGGCATTCCATCTTAGTCCTCACGGGTGGCGACGAATTTGCATTTTGATTCGTAATTCGTAATCGTAGATGTAGATGTCTATGGGTCACAGCAACCACTTACCATCAGGTGGACTGTGTGCTCGTTTGTCACCCTAATTCTATTTAAAAAAAAAAGTAAAAGTTACTCCTTTAAATAAAGAATACTTTTCAAAAGTATTTTACCATAGTATAATTCATTCCAATTCAATTAATATGTGTATATGATCATATTGTAATATTTTCAAAATACCCGGATAAGCAAATTGCAACAATAAATTCATTTTGTAAAAATATTTTTATAATGTTCTAATTCGTACAAAACATAACTTGAAGTAACGTCGTAATCTAACATAACACCGTCAAAAACATAGGCATAGCCCGTTATCAAAATGGTGTGTTTATTTTTTTACAAATCCAAAAAATCCTATAAATTACAGTCAGGTCGTTATGAAACTTGTATTCACCTCGGCCTCCTTACGCGACTTCTTCTATACGGAGCTCATTAGAATAGCTATCAGCGGTGGTTGCCGATTAATAACTCGTACCACTGATACGTCGTCGTTTACATGTCGTTTACCTCCACAACCGGAGCAAACTTACATGTTTCCTATACGCCAAGGAAAAGCAATTCATACCTACAAAACCAGCGCCACTCATTGTCATTGGGTTCAAACTCTTTAAGTTATCGACATTGCCGCTTATCCGCGTTCGTACCGGTTCCAACTGTGTGCTAAAGATAAAACAACGAAAGAACCTAGATTCAAAAATAACTAGATTTCTTTAAAGGAAAATAACCATTTCGTATAAAATTTTCCTTTGATAAAACCAATTTTACCTTCTATTTCAAAATTAATTATAGACGCCTGCTTTTATCAAAATTAATAATACAATTTAAATATCTATGACATTCACTTTTCACAAATTATAAATTTTATACTTTAACTCTTTAAGACAGAATTAGTTCTTCGGTAACAAGTCAATAAGTTGCTTAAATTTTTATAATTATTATTGTAAGTAATAACGTGTATTATAACGTATGTTAACTAGGAATTTCATTCTAGTACAAATACTGACGTAATCAGTGGATAAACATTCGCACACCTGTACAGATTTCATAAGTCAATTCACAGACGTCCTATTTGACCCGACCGACTTTAAATTGGACATTGTTGCGTGAAGAACATTAAGGTCAGACAGTAACAGTAAATATTTGTTTCAGATGACGATGAAGAATTACCGCTCAATCTTTCGATGAAAAATCGCCAGATTTGGTCGCCTGGAAGCGCTTGTGAACGCGAGAAAAGTGACACAGGTCCAGAGTCACCACAACTACGATGGGATATCAGGGAAGATGATGATACTCCTTTGGAGTTAGTAAAGAGATGTCGAAGTAGTCCAGAGGAAACTGAACGCCCAGCAAGCGCTGAGCGCCGCTGCCCATCGGCTCCCGCATATCAAACCTTTCCACCACCGCCTCCACAAACCGGAGACATAAATTTTACCGTGCTCCTTAAGAGTGAAAACAGAAATGAGAAGTCCTTTCAGGTAACGTGTATATAAAATTTCTATATATAAAACAATGTAGTTGACTCAAATCGGTCAATAAATAGCGACATTCTTTGTCAAGATCGGGATAACTGTACAATTTCCATTCGAAATGGTTTTAAATAGCAAACCAGTATCTGTTTAGTCTTTTTTACAAATCAAATAGCAAAAACTGCCCTTGTCTTAATAAGTACTCTGGTATCGAAACAAGTCGCGCGTCCCTGCATACGGCGCACTGGCTGCTCGTCTTCTCGCCATTTTTATACTTTCCTTTTTTTACCTGCCATCATTATAAAAATCCGTATCGTTTTTAATCAAAATTCCAACTTTTAATATCACGACGAGGCGGTTTATAATTGGAGGAATAATAACGTGTCATAGGATGATAAGAGAGCTATAGAGTCGTTAATGATTCTTGTCCAAATTATCACTAAGTAAGTTTACATATTTTGTTCACAAGTTTACATATTTTGTTATTTAGCCGTGTATATTGTTACTAACCGTGTATACGCGGTGTAAGAATATCCACTACTCCATATTGACCGGTAGTTGTTATAAAAGGCGGCAGAGGGAAACAAATCAGGAGATGGCCAACAGCGTCTTTCTAATGACAACTTAAACAAAAAAACTGCAGTTGCCAACCTGCCTGCCAAGCGTAGCAACTATGACAAATATATGAGACGATCTATGGGGTAGGACTATGTTCTGCAGTGGGCTTTTGATAGATTGTAATTGTAACGGGATATAGACCCATTTTACTGGAAAAGAGGCATTCCATCTTAGTCCTCACGGGTGACGACGCATCTGCATTTTGATTCTTTATTGAGGATAAATGTGGATGTCTATGGGTCACAGAAACTACTTACCATCAGGTGGACTGTGTGCTCGTTTGTCAACCTATCCTATAAAAAAATATTGTTATAATTTAAAACTTGTTAATTCCCTGTTCATAATTTTACATTGAATAGAACGAATGTTTATACATTCGTTTTAAACACGTTCGCATTTTTATTTAAAAACTGGGAGGAAATTATTGAGCTTTTCCTGATGAAGATTAAAGATACTGTTGTTCGTGGGCTTTTTCAACAGTTTGTACAATTGATCGAGGCCACGGTAGCGCAGTGGCTTAGCGTTAGGCTGGGACGCTGCGAACCACGGGTTAATCCCGCACGGTGCGAGTGTTTGTATGACCTTGAAATAATATTTACAGGTGTGGATGTTTTTTGATGTCTAACTTATGGAATACGCCCCTGCGGAACAGTAGAAATTACTTTACTTATTCCAGTGTGAGAAAAAGATATTTTCTAAATTTAAGTTACTTTATAAATCCTCTTCATCATTATCATAATTGCAGCCATGGCCACTGCTAAACATAGGCCTCTTTCAAGGAATACAACAAACATCGACTTCCTAAGCTTCATGTCGATTACCTGCACGAGGCTGCCACTCAAAACCCTTCTTTGCCTTCGGATGTCGGTTCTTCAATCTATATGGCTGACCTAATGCCACTTCAGCATACTGATATGTTGGGTTATGTCGGTTACTCAGGTTTAACTGGGGATGTAAAGAGTTTTATCAAGCAGAGAATTTTGATAGTAATATTAAAAAATATAAGTCCTAATATCTAGGTTTTAAAGTTTAATTGAGGATAAATAAATAATGAAATTGTAATTGTTTATACACGCTAAAATGCCCTGAGTGCTCCGTCCGGTGCCCGTGCAGTGGCTGGTAGTGACGCGTGCGTGCCACGCGCCCGCCCGTTGCCGCCGCTTATAACCTTAATTGCCCATGCCGGACACCACACTTTACGTAATTTATATTTGATAACTTGATAACTCATGTTACGAAATGCCTTAGTTTCTATTCAATTATTTATGTGATAGTTTAATATTCAAAAAGTTTATTTCTATCGTCGCGTCGCAATTCATCATTACGTTAGTCCTGACAAAAAATAATTTTAACGTCTTTGTATGACATGAGTGTTCTACTTTTAAGTACTGGTAAATAAAGCATTTTTTTGTAAGACAATGTTACCAGCGAACTTACACACCACCTGATGGTAAGTAGCCACTGCAATCCGTGCACTCCTGCAGTTAACTTCAACACACACGCACACGCACACGCACACGCACACGCAAACGCACACACGCACACGCACACACGCACGCACACATCAGGAACACAGCAGCGCAAGCACTGTTATTTGGCGGCAAAAAAGGTAATACTTTTATAAAGATAGGAGTACTTATAGTAAGTTTCGATTCAATCGCCCCGTTTCATACACACTGAAACATCATCTTGTTTCACCCTTTTAGCGGTTGAATTTCCCAAAATTTTTTCCTAGTGGATGTGTGCAGCATAATAAGAAGGTACTTTCCTATTTTAGATTTCTACATCTAGCAGTTTAAGCTATGCGTTGATAGAAGATTCAATCAATTACTCTAAACTTTTCTATTTAAATGTACATACGGAGTTTATAGACTAACTAAATGATGTATATACTAAAAGGTAGCACCTATAAATGTATTTTTGCCTTCTTAGAATTCCTTACTTACACAGAGTTAAAAATAATGATTAACGCATAGGAAATTATAAATTATTTTCATTTATTCAATTGTTAAGATATCAAAACCAGTATTTAGCGTATAGATAGAACTTAAAATACTACAAATTTTAGGTCAATAACCTTATTGTTATATAGAAATCTCTCTCATCTTCTGGAAATATATTGCTAAACTAAGCAAAAATCATATAAAACAGTACCTTACATTTTAGACATTTTTTAACTATAGGAGGGATCCCTCAATTCGACTGTGTGTCTATTTTTTTTTCATGTATGTTATGTGATATCCGACGATACGATCCGACTTTAATGTTTTTTTGTTAGGCTAATACCTCAAGAATGGTCCCATTTGAATTTGAAAAAAACGAAGGTTTAGAAATAGGCTAAAAGTATTTAATGTAAACTCTATTTAGAATATATTCTACTTGATTCTCATTTATCCTTGAGCTTGTGATATTGCTTAGCCTACACAAAAGAATCAAATGGTTAAATATAAAAAAATAAATATCGTTTTTTCTACATGATTTCTGCAACTTGTGAGGTCGAAACTTAAATTCTTTGGCACACTTAGCACCGACTTCAGAAGCAATTAAATTAAGTTGAAATCACTTTATTATTTTAAGCTTTTTGAATTCGGAATTTAGTTTTTCAAGTTTAATTATTTAATTCAACTGACTCCCATAAAAAATCTCCGTTAATGCACAGTATAGCCGATAACCATATGTGGATGGTCATGCCCTAGCACCTGTGTTGTTTATAAGAAAGTCCAACGACGCTATAAAAAGACCAAAAAAAACGAGCAGTTTTTATAAGGCGCGAGGCGAGGCAGCTGCCCCGCCAACTGTCACAACGAGCCGCTACGCGGATTTGTGCCGCGGATTACCATTCGCCGCATATTTAACGACTAACCACACGACTAATGGCCAACGACTTTCTTCTGAGTTGTGGTTACATAGGATATTTTTTTATAGAATAAGAGTGACAAACGAGCGTACAGTCCACTTGATGGTCAGTAGATGCTGTGGCCCATAGATATCTACATCTATCCTTAATTAAAAATCAAAATACAGAAGCGTTATCCACCCCCGAGAACTAAGATGGTATTCCTCGTTTTCACTTAAAACTGTAACATAAGTTCTTTTTTATTATTTAACCCCATTATACAAATGTAACTTGTAGTGGTGGTGTAAGAATATCCTCTACCCTCATCACCCCAAGGGCGTCGTAAGAGGCGACAGAGGGAAACTAAAACAGGGGATGCGCAGCAGCATCTTCCTGGTGTCAGTTAAATAAAAATAACAAAACGGTTGCCAACGCTCCTGCCAGATGTGACAACTATGATAAGTATGACGGATTTTGGACAATGAGGCAATCTATGAGGGAGGCCTTTGTTAAGCAGTGGAGTTTGATAGACTGTTATGAATGAATAATGAATTATAAAAAATTATACACAAATTATACAGGCTATATTCCGTAGGTCAATCAATAAGTTTTGAGATATACAAAAAGTATTCTAGATACTATTAATATTTATTTTACATCTTTTCAAAATATTCTCCATCATGCTCTATACAAAGTTCCATTCGCCTAAACCAACTCTGAAAACACTTTTGCCAGTCTTGATCTGACAGGTCGGAAATCGCTTCTTCGTAGGCAGCCACGGCTTCTTCGGTGATTGAAAAAAACTTGCCTTTTATTTTCTTTGACTCTTGGGAACAAAACGTAATCACGAGGAGCTAAGTCAGGCCTGTCAACACTAGCAAACTAACAGAAAAAACTAGCCACCATTTTTTTGCCGACATTGCGAGGTCTTTGCAGTTTTGACGGTAACTGTCCCTCTGAGTAGACCCATACCGATGATTGCCTTTTATTTTCCGTATCATATTGATAGATCCATGTCTCGTCATCAGTAACGATTTCTGAAACACGCCTAGATGCCCCGTTTTCAAAACGTAGACGCATTTCATGGCACCAATCCACACGAGTCTGTTTTTCGCTTTCGGAGAGCAAACGAGGGACCCATCGACAACAAAGCTTCCTCACTCCAAGATGTTGATGTAGGATGGTATGAATGCTCCCCGAACTAATGCCTACAATCTTTTCGATGTCGGTATATGTGATTCGTGGGTCTTCTCGCACCAACATTTCAGTAGTCCATACATTTTCTGCCGTTACTGCAGTTTGCGGGGCCCCGGTTCCTTAGTCATCTTTAAGATTAATTTTACCCCTTTTGAATTCAGCAAACCACCTAAAAATTGTTGCGCGTGATGGAGCTGACTTCCCTAATGCTGATTGTAACCGTTGTAAACTTAATTGTTCGGTTAAACCACATAATATATCATAGCGCACAAATGTTCACGGTTAAGATCCATCGTTTTAAATGAAAAGCGCGGGAAGCGTTGTAGGAAAATTAATATAGCTTAGTTTTTTTTTTAATATTGAGCAATTGACTTATGGAGTTCTATTTTTAAATAAATTTGCTTTGTAAACATAATATAATACAGATGCGTTCCATTTTTAAATTTCAAGCATCTCAAAACTGGGATAGTGAAAAAATTACCACGGGTAATCGAAAAGGGAGAAATAATCATAAATATCTAAGATTATTGCTACAGCTAAGTACGTAAATAAAAAAGTAAGTAAATAAAAAAAATTTAAATAAGTCTATGCAAATAACTCACTAAGCTATTAGAGTGAGGAGATTATTGCTAAATATCATACAATAAATTTTATAAAATCTTGCAATAAGGAATGCATTCATCCATCCTAAATTCTTCATTGTTAATCTTCTTTCTACTGGCCACTCCTAGACAATTTAGTATATTCTTAAACAAACTGTTACAACACAGGCGTCATTTCAAGTACCGAAAACATCTGAGTAAATAAATCTAAAACAGGAAACTTTTGTCTAATAAGAGAGCGTAGGTTGTGAATAGAATATTAAAGCAAAAAATTTAAATATGTTTACTAACTTGAGATTTATGCCTTCAGCATATACCGTGTCTTTAAATATCACAAACAACACTAATAGTTACGAAGTAGCACTTGGATACATTATGATATAAAAATCTACAAATAATAAGTGTTGGAGAAATTTTCATCGTTACTAAAACCATATTATACAGGGTTATTTTGCAATAACCGGCCAAATTTGCAGAGAAGGTTCAGAATACATAAATAATATAGGCAAATGGGGAAGAAAAATTAAAATCTCAAACATTCTCTCCTTTTTATCTTTTAAATTCAAAATGCGTGGTAATGCAATATATTAACTGATTTTACTGCGCACGCACACATTCGTAAGGGTCGACCGGTAGATAAAAAGTTTTTGCCTATAAACCCAAAGATGACTAGTTGTTGACTCCTATTTTCAAAAACTGCAATAACGATATATCATTATGTATATATTTGAACTTAATTTTAAAATTTGGCTACCCTTTAAAAAATAACCCTGTATAACGAATTTGAAAAAAAATCCTTATATTATCTGGCAATTATACTAGCATATTTTACAAAAATGACCGCCCAGAATACATACGAGTATTACTATTCTTAACCATTTTTAATGTAGTTTTAGTTTTGATCAAAATTGATGACTCCCTGGAGTAATCATTTCTGATTCTTATTCAGACACTTAAAGCCCACACTTTATAATTTTTGTAAATAATAAATCAATGATCTATTAAGAAATAATGTTATCTACTCTTGACTCAAATATTGACATTATGAAGTTTGTGTTTAAAGATTTTTTACTTCAGTACGTATTTTAAACTGTTTAAATTTTCTTTCCAATCTCAACACACTTCTCTATAGTGGGCTCGAATTCTAGGCGTATACTATCATTTTTATGCAACACAAAAACTTTTGATTTATAGCATATGCGGTGTAAAGAAAAAATATATGTAGGTACACCTGCAAAAATAATATAGATACTCGTATTAAATATTCATGGGCTGATCATGCACAATGACTACGTGAATTTATAGACCTGTACAGAACATTCTTATATCAATAATACTGTATAATACGTATCGAAAGTTATCGTATAACACGTACGTTAAAATAAAATAGCCCACATTTGTAATTGAATACGGTCAAATAATGATTGGTTGATGTACTAATTAGTAGGCAAAGAAAAAAATAATTCTTATGGAAAATCAAAGGTACGTGTGGAAAAGGGTTTGAGCAAGCCTGTTATTACCATTATATTACTAGCTACCAGTGAAGGTGATGGACGTTGACAATTCCTTTATTGGCGTCTAATTACGAGTACACCCACCTACTTTATGAAAGTATTTAAAATTAAAAAAAAAACGAAGTAACTTTGTTTGATGGAAAATTCTTTCTAATAAAGTTGATATTAATTAACTAAAAACTAATTTAAAAAAAAACATCAAACTAAGAATCAGTTAGTGGCGACGTTAGTATATCCACTACCCCATATCATCCCGTGGTTGTCATAAGAGGTGACAGGGAGAAAAGCTTAATAATACAAAAAACTGCGGTTGCCAAGTCACCCGCCTAACTTGGCAACTACGGCAAATATCCCCTTATAGGGCAAGTCTATGTTTTGCAGTGAACTTTTGATAGGCTGTGATGACTGTTAAAATCAGTTTTTTTTTTTTGTTTAACCTAAGGCTTTTGTCCGTTTTAAGTAGGATATGGCGTTTCAAGTGACCGTTGAAGTTTTATAACGGCCCAAATTAATTTAAGAAATTTTTCAACCATCTTAATATAATTACTTTATATATAATTACTATAATAATACAAAATTGCTTTGTTTGCTATGAAATATAACGTATATTTTACACCCCAAATTGCAAATATCTAAACAATTATATAATAAATATATCATTGATCATATTCATTTTGTTTAAAAATCTGCATCCAGCCTTATCGTACCTCAAAACGTAAACGTTAAATTCGTAAAAACCACTAGTCTTAGTATTAGCACACATATTTTTGTTACTATAATATGTCTAGTGCAGGTGATATGTAAGAGTAGAAGAAAGTAATTAGAATCATTTCTGTACATTATTCAATTAATAATTTTTAAACTTCCCGTTACTACAACACCACAAGCACAATACTATAAGCGTTTAAATAAGCAGAACCTTATTAATTAAGTTGAAATATTTAAAATAATAAAAAAGCCGTGGTGGCTCAGATGGTTAGCGCTCGCTGTAAGCTTCACAGTACTCGAGCAACCCGGGCTCGATCCCCGCCGGCACCAATGAAATTGTTAATTGCAATTTTAAGTTCTGATTTACCACGTGCTCTGCGTTGAAGGAAAACATCGTGAGGAAACCTACATGTCTGAGAAATAAGAAAAAAATATTTCGAAGACATGTGAAGTTCGCCAACACGCATGTGGGCACCGCGGCGGACATTCCCTTGCCCTAAAACCCTCTCAGAAATGAGAGGAGGCCTGTGCATAGCAGTGGGATGCAAATAGGCTGCAACTTTACTTTACTTTTATTTAAAATAAATAAAGTTGATGTATAGATATTTATCGCTAAAATAATTTTTTTTCTATGCAGTGTAAGCAATGCGGAAAATGCTTCAAGCGATCCAGTACACTCTCCACTCATTTGCTCATCCACTCGGATACCAGACCATACCCTTGCCAGTACTGCGGGAAACGGTTTCACCAAAAATCTGACATGAAGAAACACACTTACATTCATACAGGTAAGCATTGCTTAAAGAAATACATTGTGTAATGACAAAGTTATTTTAATTAAAAATAAAATTAATTAAAGACAACAAAAAATCTAAGTCTACTGTTGGTAAACGGCTAAATAGCTGAATTACAATCAAAGAAGTAATTTGTCATGCTTGGAGTTTAGTATAAAATACCTTATGCACTATAATTATACTAGGTTTCCATACACACCGAACCAGCGTACCAGTGAATGCAATACTTCTTGGAGACAGAACTAGGTAGGATGTAGATACCACAAATATCACACAGTTTTAAAACCAGCCTTATACTTCTAAACTAAAGGCTTACGAAACTTTTAAATAAGTCAGACACCCTGAACTCATTAATAATAATAATAATTTTAAATTGGTACATATTTAATGATTTCTTATATTTACGCGAATACTACACATTGAATAAAACTATATTGGTACTTATTTATTCATGTTACATGTACTGTGCCTATTATAGGACATGATTTATGTATTTGAGCAACACGGGCCACCGGCGGACCGGGGTGGCCCGTGTTGCTCTATGATTCGGTGCGAATGATCTTTTTTATATATGATAAATTAAGTTATAAAAATTAGTAACGGGATCGAAAACCGCAGCCAAATACTACCACCGCGCTACCGAGCCGTCAAAAGTAATATAATTTAACGAAGAATGTCAAATATTTGGTAGATACTAGATACACAAAAAAGTACAATTTGGTTATATAATTAAAATAAAGAAATATTCTTTCTGTATATATTTCGTTCACGATAAAATTATCATTTGAAGGATTTACTAGCTTCAAAGAAAGTTTCCACTGAAAATAACAGGTCCAGCATAAAGTTACGTGACATACAGTTCATAATTGGAGTTTGACACGTGGGGAAGTAGATTTATAAATAATATGTTTCAAACTTGTTACGCTACTTTCGTATGGACGTGTTGTATTGTTCAAAATATGTCGATACTTAATTTAAATTAAACCTATGTTCAATTTCGGACTTGTGTGAGGTGTAAAGATGACGATGCGCTTTTGTTTGCTGTTGTCGAAATCCAGTGTAAGCTCGCAATTATTGAGTAATACATAAGTAAAATAACAGCTTACATATTATGTCAAACAGCTGGACACAGGCTTTCTCTTGTTGCCGAAATAATTCTGAAGTAGAAAAGATTACACTCCGCTGACTTAGTTTGCGCGTTGATGAGTTCTCGAAATTATTTGAGATCACACATAGAAACGTTTCGGCCCATAGAATGGAATAGAAAAGAATAGAATAGAGTAAAATAATTTTCTATTCGATATAGATTACATGTAATTCTTATTGAAAGTATTTTTTTTTATTTTACCACTGGTTCGGAAAAAACATCTGTCCTGCAAAGAACCAGCAAGAAATACAGAGGGACATTTAAAAAAAAGTTAATTATACGTTTTAGTTTATTACATTAGTGTTTCCTTTAGCGTTGTAAATCAGCACTTGTGCCTGCCGTCTCAAGTTTTGGACACTGGTTATTCACATAGTATAAAATTTAAGGCCAGCGCCCAACCCCTAAAGAGTCTTTCCTCTAGAGTTTACAGAGTACAAACATTGATATAAATATGTTTAAGCTAACGAATGAAATTGTATATTTACTTTATTTGTAGTTTGTTAACTATTAAAATTTTCATTTAATGTGGGTATGTGTTTTAGGTCATTTTTGAATGGATTTTAAAATTAATCTGTGTTGGCGTTATAGTATGGCTTTTTTCGAAAGTTTTAGCATATCATAAACAAGGTACCTAATTTAAGGATTGATAAGAATGTTAAGAATTACGCTAATGCGTTTATTTTGCGGTTACTTGTCAATATTATCATTTCTGTTCTACGAATAACTAAAAATTTATTGTTTTAATTTTAAAATAAAATTTATTTGCATTTTTAGCAAAGCAGTTTAACAACGTATTACTGCCACAGTCTAACTACTCTTCTTAGCCTGTGCTACTGAAGAGTAGAGACTGTAGAGTAGTAGTTAGACTGTGATAGCACTGCATTTTTACATGTTTACAATAATGGCATTTTAGTTTAATTGTACGTGCTAGACAATACGCACAATAAACCTTCTAGACCTATTTTATGTAACTGATGTAAATAAAAAGGGGTGGCAAAGCAGATACTGCAACGTCTCACAGATTAAACATTTAAATAGTGTGCAATTACCTTTTCGCCGACAAATCGCCAACCGTTCGTTCAGTAATGAATTTTCAATTAGCAAAAACGTGAATGGCCGGGAGCCTGCCTACGGACCGCAGTCGTTTTTATCATCTTGTCTGAGGTCGCGATTAATATCACCTTTGCCTGCTGATTTCCTTCAATTTTTATATAAATAATATATTTGTTATAATACAATAATCCAGATTTATTCAAAGATCTAATTATACTTAAAATGTTGATGATACTTTCAGCGTCCGTGTTCAGTACCTAAGACTTTTAGTTGTGGCTAAGACCGGATTTAAATCTCGCACAGATTAATTGTTTGTATAGCCTTCAACTAATTGTTTCGAATCTGCCTGTGATATCTTGGTGCCATTTATGTATGTTAAACATCACACGATACATGAATAAACCACCGATAATACTCCCAGCAATTGTAATGTTTTTTTTTTAATAAGTTAATATAAAGTATAATTAGTAGATAAAGTTGTTAAATTTTGTTACACGTGTGAGGTGTGACTATGAAAATTAGCGAATTTTGATATTTTTTTAACTGAAGTGACAAACGAACATACAGTCCACAATAAGTGGCTACTGCAGCCCATGGACACCTGCAGCTAACTTTAAACAAAGAACCCATGCTACAAAGGTCACTTTGAGGACTAAGATGGAATGTGGATGGAGTGTGAGGACACCTGTAATTATATTGGCTGTCTATCCCCTCAGAGCGGAACACATTAGTGTAGGTACTGTTGCTTAGTGCCAGAAATAGGTACAAGGGTAAAATGGGTGCCTACCCAGAAGGACTTCTAGGCATAAAAGAATCCTATACCTAGAAACAACAGTTATAACATCGAGTACGTTAAATTACGTAAATAATTATTCGTAAATATATTATAAGTGATAAAACAAAAATTTCGTTAGTTAAATTAGCTATCGCGACAATTTAGTATACAAATTACGAAATACGAAGAGACCATAGGTACAAGTTCTTGCACCGTTCTTTACTGCAAGACAGTATTATATGTTGTTCAACGAGACGAATTGAGCGCTAAAAAAACTATGGCGAACATATTGGTCGTGGTCTGCGACATCTCGTCACGTCTCTCTGCCGTTTCGAATGATTTACTATGGCCATACATGGCTCTTGTCCTCCGATAAATGCCTCATCATCAATATTCCAAAATGCGGTTCGGCTTGCAATTAGCCGAGTAGCCTTCACAGACCTTCACATGGCGCGACGATCACTGCACAAACAAAAAGTGCAGTTAAATCCTGTTCTATCTATAAAAATGCACCGATGTTTTTATTAACGCCGTTTATCGATATCTCGCATCGCAAGTGTTTTCTTTTTGAAGGTCAAAAATTTTGTAATAAATATCAGCATCGGTTTTAAACCATTCTAATGTTCGTATGTATTTACGTAAACTCTCTAAAGATATGATGTACAACTTATCAATGTTGAAACAGCTAGACTAGTTAACTTTAGCTATTTCCATAGCGAATAGTATTTTGCTATGGGGACACGCGACTGACACTGAAATTATATGTGTTTTACAGAAGAGCAATCTGTGATTTAAAACCTAAAGAGTCGCTCTGACATAAATTTAAGGAAATTAATAGATTAACTTTGGCTTCTCAATACAATTACGAAAATGTAATGTATGTACACAAAAATAAAAGTTTTTTTTTCATTCTATAAATACTAGGAACAGACTCAAGCTAGTGTACTACTAGCTATTCGACTCCACCGAGTTAGTAATGCATTCTTGGGGCGATGTAAGCTTTTACAACAAAATCCCAGAAAACATACAAAATTTGACCCCTTCAAAGTTCAAAATCTTAATTAAATAAACTTTGTATAAATAGGGTTATTAAAGGTATTTATGGATGATAATAACCCCTGGGAATGAGGTGATCGCTACTAAGCTATTTCTATTTCAAATTTGTTTTGTATTGTTAATTGTGTAAAATATATGATTGTAAGCTGTAATTTTTTTTTCAAAAAAGATCATGCTGGATTGTTTACTGGTTCTTCCCAGGATAGAAGTTTTTTTTTTCCGTACCAGTGGTAAATTAAACAAAAGAGTAACTTTCAATAAGTATTATTTATAATCTATATTGAATTAAAAAAAGTTTTTGTTTCTGTATGACATATAAACTAAAATTTTATTGAACGGAAAACATTGGACATAACTTTAGCTAGCATGTGGTATATTATCTAAATATAAACATATTGGACTCGAACATAATATGTATTTGTTGCAGGAGAGAAGCCACACAAGTGCGTCGTATGCTCGAAAGCATTCAGCCAGAGCTCGAATCTCATCACGCACATGCGCAAACACACCGGCTACAAGCCGTTCTCGTGTGGGTTGTGCGACAAGGCGTTCCAGCGCAAAGTGGACTTACGCCGCCATCGAGATTCCCAGCACGCGGAGTCCGTGGCCGAAGTGCCCGTCACGACGCTACCATCGCGCTACAGATACTATGGGGACGACTCTCCCACTCCATTAACCCCAGTCGTTACAAATTGATTTTTTAATGCAACAACTGGATGAAGATTAAATTATTTTTGAAGCCTTTTGTTTGGCGACGCTACCACCAAGCTACTTGTAAGATTTTCCATTAAATAGAGCACATCTTTTATTTAATGAAAGACGTAATGTGTTATTGCACTCTAAAATAATGCAATACCATAAACTTTATATATGTAAGTGATAGATGTGTCATGTTATAAAGTGCATGCTTACAAACCAATTAAAATGTTCTATTGGTCTTAAATTAACCAAAGAATTGTAAACTAAGAGCTGGTTAAAAGTTACTATTTAAATGCCATGTACTATTTCGATATTCATATTATATAAGTGTATTCGAAATTTTTAAATGATTAGATTTGTTGAAATACAGCATTTTCTTCATTACCAAAACAGTGCCTTGCGAGTTGCCTAAAAAACATTTTTATTATGTAAAACAGTTAAAGTAAGAAAGAAAACTACGAAGATAAAAGTTTTTATCATTTAATGTTATTACGTCCTATATGGAACAAATCCGTCCTAGGTTATGTGATATAAGTAAGTTCCACACTAAACCTCTCTATAATACCAATAAATCATTGTCAAGATAGAAATAACTTAACCTTGTTAAAAATAAGTTAAAAATGTAAATATTTTAAAATAAATTATCCACACAATGTTGCAATGTAGCTATTATGTGCTAAAATGTGGCAAGCGGTGAATCCGCTGTTAATATTTTCATCAATTACTGTGTTAATATTTTCATCCCCTGTACAAAAATACTAGGTAACTACAAAAAATTGTGTAGAATTTATATACGACCAATTTTTAAAGTTATAATGTACATAATGATAAATAACGAAGGAATAGGAAGAATATGTTTGTCCAAGAATTCATAATATACAATATCAGCCTGTACAATATACTAGGTTAACTACATTATAAAAAAAGCTATGAAGAGTTTATATACGGCCTCCGTTAACCCTTACATTAAAGCAAAAGGTTAAAATGGAAAATAAATTAACGTAAATGTTATATATGTGTTTAAATGTAGGTATTCTATATTTCACCCTTAAACGATTTTGAGATAAACATTAAAAAAAAAATTACATTTACATATAATTCCCTTCATGTTGGTACATTAAAACGTTGTACTTAACTACAAAGTAACTAAATACAATGTTTAAGAAATATTTCATAGTAGATATTTAACATTGAAATATAATTTGTTACTTTAGTGTAATATACAATATTCATACATGTGTTTTTATTAAACTATTTCTGGAAAAAGGCTAAAGCATCAATGTCGAAAAACACATTTTTTGTAATATGTTTATTATGAGAACACTTAAGTTTTCCATTAAGAAAATTTAGCCATTAACCGTATAAGTGTAATTGTATAAGTAAAATAGTCTAAAATAAACCAAAGTAAAGTGTGTTTTAGTCGAATGTGAAACGCTTTATTTATTATATCTAGTTGAAGCAACAATCATTATTTAATAAGAAAATATCAACGAGTCATATCTGTATAAATATTTTAAGTGTCTTACTTTTAACTTTTAATTTCGTAAATAATTTCGTTAAGTAGTAAGTCGTCAACATGCATTGATTAAGTACTGATTGTAGGTTATGTATTTATATAACACATTCTTGTAATTTTTCAATTATTGATTGTGTGCATTACCATTTCGGAGCTACCGACATTCTGGTTACCATTGCTAAAATTGGTTACCACAAATCTAATTAGCGGAACACTATGATTTACTAGTTTATAAAAATCTATTTGTAGCACTATTAAACTACTTTATGCATTTAATTTTATTGTGAGTGATAAGATATTTTATACTTGCATCAATTAATACGAATTTAGCGTATTCACTAGAGTTATAAGAAAAATTTAATGTCATAGCAGATTTTCTGAAAAGTGACACAGTCCCAGAGTTATCAGCGTTAATAAAAAGTAAAGCTTAGATAATGAAGCACGGTCGCGTTTCGAAGTATGCAAAACTAACGACCTGCGGTCTTTAAGAGTTGAAGAAGAAAACGACTTTTGTACTTAAAGCATACACTACATATAGCTTAACACTTAACATACGCTACATACAGCCTCCACGTCAGACGTCAGTGACGTACTCGTATGTGCATACATTTCCATAGGTCATAATACTGATTGAGGTAATCGCGGTAAAGCGCGGTTTTTGTATTTAAGATATAAGAATTAATGTACGAGGCTTTTTTTTGTACAAGACTGCACACCACCAAGTAACAATAAATAATAATTATTATTACTGTATTATTTTTATGTGTAAATCATTAGAAATAATTTTCGAAAATATCGTTGACGTGCTTAAAGACTTTCAAGGATGCGTTCCCTCCCCAGGTTCCCTCATAGTGATGGTGTCAATCAAGTGTCAAACTACACGTGCAATGTAGATAACGGCTAGAACACCAAAGACAATCAACATTAAGTGTATCTTTAACGATTGCTTAAACTAGATATAGGGTACCTACGTTCACCGCTTTTTGAAGAGAACTTTACGGTTTGCGCCTTCGACATCATCAGATCTTGCACTAGAGTTGCGCGGTTAAACCGATGTCATGCAACCCTTAATGTTTCGATTAATTATTGTGAATCTAAGTTGTGAATATTAAAATATCGAATTGGCGATACAAAGTTTCGTCAGGTTACTTTATTTTGTATTTCATTATCCTATTGTAATTTATTAAGGCCAGTTTAATATAAATATTTATGAATGAAAAATGTCTTTTATTTCTTTACTATAGACAAGGTAGTGAGAAGTCAGACATCCTTATAATACCTATATACAAAGGAAACTCTTTTGTGTATTACATAGGCATAAGTATATACAATATTTTAAGTATGCAGATAAGAGTATGTTAAGAATAGAAGGTGTGTTTTGACACCTCCAAGGAAGTGTAGACCTTCGTATTTGATATTCATTTCGACTTGTCACATCTTTCCCTTCCTGAAAAAAAAAGAGTTTTGACAGACGGACGGATGGACGAGAAACAAACTGGTTCTATAAGGTTTCCGTTTTATACCTTTTACGGCTTACAACCCTAAAATGGCAAAAATTCTGGTAGCATTAATTACTTTTTTAGTTGCAATTCTTTATAGTAATACTTCTCTTTAAAATGATATACGTACAGCCATAAGGGCTTCGCAACGCAACCACGTCGAGCTGGCCGAGCGAAATACAGGTAACACGGAGATTCACACCAGCCACTCTCAGCTTCTGGCTCTAGGCTTTGTAGATGGCATAGTATAACATAAGCTGACTGGAAACTGTGCTTTTCTTTTATCGATGGTCTGACACAACCAAGAAAATAACACAAACAAAAAATTTTAATTTGACTGACATACATTAAAGACAATGCAGAACGTAACAATTTTTTTATAGGATAGGGTGACAAACGAGCACACAGTCCACCTGATGATAAGTGGTTGCTATGACCCATAGACATCTACATCTATCCTCAATAAAGAATCAAAATGCAGATGCGTTGTCACCCGTGAGGACTAAAATGGAATGCCTCTTTTCCAGTAAAAAGGGTGTCCGGGTCTCTACACTCACCATACAAAACACAGCAGTGTTAAGCTGCTATTCTACGCTGGTATTCTATGATAATAAATCTATTGAAATGCTTTGTACATGTCTTGCTATGTTTTAAGGAACTGCTATATAGATACTAACAATAGTATCCCTGCTATAGAACTTGGCACTGTTCAGGTCTCAACTTTTTTGTCAGCGAAACAGCGACCCCGACAACCGCAATCGTCATTTGTACCGAATTTGCCCATTTTTACATTTATGTTCTTGGTGGGATAACATTATTTTTTTAAAGTTTTATCCTTATTCCATTCCATGTTCGTACTATTCCGAGGGTGTCGTAAGAGGCGGCAGAGGGAAATGTAACAGAAGACGAACAGTAGCATCTTCCTTATAACAACTCAAAATTATAAAATCTTTTGTTACCACCCGCCTACCAAACGTGGCAACTACTGCTAATATTTCATACGAAGAGGCGATCCGTGAGGGAGCCCTATGCAGAGCAGCCAATTTTTGATGGTCATCACCTAACCTACCTTGATCTTGTCACTTAGTAGTGGCCTAGCATTTTAATAAATAATGAGTCATTGAATTATTGTCATCTGGTTAGTTCGGAGTCGGATTAGTTCGTGTAAATATAGACATTGCTAGATTTGCCCAATTTACCCTTTTCTTTTCCGAACTTGAGTTACATACTGCCATGTGTGATAGTATCCAATTTCATTAGTTCTTTTTGAAAGTATTATTCGTTATTAGGAAATATCGTTATTGTCAAATTATGCATCGGAAATCATCAGCATAAAATACAAAGTGAACATTTTCTTTTCATTTTACTCTATTTTTACTTTATGCTTTTTACTTTAAGTGAGCTCTGTTTTTGCTGCCCTCAAAGAACTATTGATTACTTTTGAAGATTAGAAAATAATCCTTTAACTAATTATTATTAAAACAAAAACAAAACGCCACCATAGGCATTTCTCTTATATCTTATAGGTGCTTAACATAATATATAAACTGGATATGTACAGAAATAGTTAGACCCGCAATAATTAATGAGAGTCCATACAAACATAGTCAGTCTTGCTTACAGCAACGACATAGTTCTTAAATATTTTGCTAAATCAGGATGTGACCCGTGTTGCATAACCTTTCGGGAGCGCACAGTAGTAGCAGGCAGAGATAAAGAAAACGTATCGATATCTGTCACTTTTATGATTAAATAATCGAATAAACAATATAATCAATGTTACAAAATGAACGGAAGTATATTTCACCTTAAACTAATTAAAATTTACATTAATACTTCGGTATATAGAACATAAAGTGGCATCCAGTACACAACCACAGTATAACTCTTGAAGCACCTAAGCCCTAAGCCTGGCCACATTTAAAAGTATATCGATATTTCTTGGAATATTTACACATAATTTGTAAGCCCATTCGTGACAA